CAAGCAGAGACCAGGCCTTTGACACGTGGGCCTTTGGGAATATTCCTGATCCAAGCAACAGCTGTTGACCTGATCCCACAGGATGCGAGGTCGCACACAGGAAGCATGCTGAGTGCAAGTGCAGGTGACAATAACCAGCGAGGATTTCCTGGAGGACCTGGGAGACCAGGGAGGAATACAGACTCCACCTGGACTGCCCTGACCATGAGCACTGGGTTTCCTAGGCACGGTCTGCACTTCAGTTCAAGTTTTCCTTTGCCCTTCCTGTCCGATCTGCAGCAATAAACTTCAGGGCCATGTTTATAAAACAAGGGCAAATGTGAGAATCAGTATGCTAACGTGGGTATACAGTAGATTCTCAGTTTAGGGTTTTAAAACTATTTTTATATTTTACTGTATCAGGCATCTTTGTGGGAATGAAAAAATGAATAAGCTCTGGTCACTGCTGTGTGTGGAGGAGAAGTTCACCAGGAAGATGCTGATGAACTCCCTAGGGTACCACCCAGGCTCAACCGAACTAAGACATCCATGCCTCTCAGGAAAGCAATACTATTTGGCTTACTGTCATCAGAGGGAATTCTTTTCCTTCCAGCCTAGACCCTAGGAGCCTGGGTTGAATCTGTTTTCCATGAATAAATCCACGCCAACATGTGAGCAAGGCTAGTAGCCCCAAAAGCCTGGCCCAGCCCAGCAACCTGTCCCTGACCACCCCACAGGACAGAGTTGTGCTTCTCCCTGCTTCCTGAGGGTTGGTCATGACCACAGTTCTGTTAGAAGCTCTGCTTGGCATAGTTGATCCTTTGCAGTTTTGGGGATAGGAAGGAAGGTGTGGAAGCACCTCTCAGGGCATAAAATCACAAACAGCATGGGGCTCCCACCTGGGCCCTGGGAACCAGAATCCCATCATCTCATTCAGGCTTCTGTGCCCTGCATGTGTGGTACCTCTCGCCCATAAGCCTTTGTTTCCATCTAGCCTCACCCTTGACTCACTTGGCTCATGGCCCTTGCTCCAGCCAGAGGCTGAGACACATTGCAGCTGGCCTCCTGGCAGGACTGGTGGCACTGACCACCTGATAGGGTCCAACTCCTGTCTCCCCAGGGAAAGAATATCTACCATGGACACTGACCATGTGCTGCAACCCATGGATGTGAAGGTGCTTCAAGCCTTTGGCTTCAGGCTGCCTCGCCTTGAGCCTGTTGGCTCCTCCATCATTTGCCAGAATGCCCAGGCTTTTGTGCCTCCAGCCCCAGCAATCCCTGCTCTCTTCTTTGTTGGGCTGTTTCAATGACTAGACCTATGGAAGGTTCTAGAAAGAAAAGCTACATAGCCTGATATATTAACTAGTGGGTGGTAAAGCTCAAATTCTCCTTGTAAGCTGGTTGCTAACTAGAGTTGTCAGGCACTGGGCTCTGGCCTCAGTGATAGGCACTAAGGTCCCGGTGGCCATTCTATAACCACCAGCAAAGGACATTTGTCCTTTCCCTAAAGGTTTGCGTTTAAGGTCCCTTTGGCTTAAAAGGGAAATCCTGAAGCTTTGATTTCATTTCTCTGGTGATTGTTATAGGTGCCCTCACTAATTCCCTGGAGGATAAATTTTTCTGTCACTTTGGGCTTACATTAAAACATATAACCTTAGAACCATGGAAAGTAGGAAAGAGCCATATTCTTAGTGGTGTGGTTCTATTAGCTAGTATAGTCTTCTGGAAGACTTGAAACTAATCAAACCTATTTGTGTTGCATCAAAATCCTGATGTTGTTCAAGACTGAGGTCTTAGATTCCCCTGGCTCTTTATCATCCACCTCCATGGGACCAGCTGTCCCCTCCTGGGGTCTTTTGTATCAAACACCTCCCACCTCCTATCAGGCTACCATGTCAGAGCAGGGTCATACAAAGCACTGGTCCCAGGAGTCAGCTGGCCATCAGCATCCATGTGTCTGCACAAAAGAACTGGCCTCAGGACCACAGACCTCTATGCTTCAGTGGCTGACATTGCTGATGGGTCCTGTGGCTCTCCCTAGAGGAATGCCAGGCCCAGCTCAGAGGTGCAGGATGGACACCAACCCCAGGAAGGCAATTCGGGACCTGGTGACACAACAATCACTGAGTATCTCCTTCTTGTACCCTACCCCTCCTGCCTGGTTCTGGGAATTGCTCTGAGTCCCTGCCTCTAGGCATTTCCCACCTGGCCCTGGGGTACTTGTGGCTCTGCAAAGGGAGAACCTCAAGACTATATGATGCAGAGTCTTCCTTGGCCAGCTAGCTCCACTCTGACCATCTCACCACCAAGTTATGCTACAGGGGTCATCCCTCCATCCAGAGATTCCACACTTACCATGAGCGAGTGTTTGGGGGTGATTTGAGAGGCTTTCCTGAGAAAGTCATTACAAACAGTAAGTTTAGTCACCCTTTGTTACCCACACACAGCACCCAAAAGTCTCTCTGCACCTTCTACATGCAGGTCAGCCAGGCCCAGAGGCCCAGCCCAGCCCAGAGGTCAGCTCTCTGCTTGCCATATACTCAGTGCTCACCTGGCCTGCATTTAGATGGTCCTCGGGATGGGGACTGGGCAGTCACCTCTAGGAATCCACAGTGCAATTTCCGTCCCCATAGCAAAGGTTCAAATTTGCTACCAGATGCCCAGAAGCAGTTAGCTCCTCTGTCTGGTTTCTGTCACAAGGTGTCTGGGCAAAGCATCTGACCTGGTTTGCCTGAGACACATTTAGTTGATTCCCGTGCTGCCTCCAGAATTATTGGTAGGTCCTCTTTCACCTCCGAAGTGTCCTGCTTTGGTTGATACAGTGTGCAGCTACACTGGTGGCTATGACATGGTGCCATGAAGCTTCCCTGCCTTCTCCACTCTTGACTTGGGTTGGGCTGGTGCCTTCTCTGTCTGAGACAAAAGAGGGACTTGATTGCTTAAAGAATAGCTTTTTCTGAGTTGTGGTCCTCCGTTGATAAAAATCAATGAGCACATTTGCTAATGGGATGCCGCTGAAGACATAGAGTCCCCTCTGCATCATTCCCACCCTTCGAGGACCTTCATTCCTTTCTGGCTATACTACTCTACAATGGACCACATCTCCTTTCTCTTCTTGGCTACCAGAGAACGCCTACATAAATGTGTGACTGAACTATGGAAGTGTTTAGGCACCTTGGTATTGTAGTGTTATTTGTATCTTAACTTCTTGTCAAATTTATATTTGCTTTGTTATGACTTCTTACTCTTATTTATAATTTTCTGATATTTATAAGTTGTCATTTTTCCATAAATGTGATGTTGTTACAGTTTTAACTTTTGGTAGAAACAAGATAGAAACAAGGGGCCGGCCAGATAGCTCAGCAGATTAAAGCACCTTCAAGCAGGCGCAGGGGCGAGGGGGGTGATCCCCAGGCCTGCTGTGCCAGCACCACCCCCAGGATGCACTGAGATGGCAATTGAGACTGGGCATGGTAGTCCTAGCACTTGGGAGGCTGTAAACAGGAGAGTCACTATGAGTCCAATCTGGTAGTGAAACCCTGAACACCCTGTAGACCCTTCCCTAAATACAGAAAAAAAAAAAAAAGATAGAAACAAAAAAGACACAGGAGTCAAAATACATAGTTTTCAGCTAGACTGGATCCTCTGCTGCCCACTGCACATCACGGGGTCTGAGGTCCTCTATGAGACAATGATTTGAGTCTTGCAGGCTTGCTTGCCTTCTGAGCATGCTCTGAAGTGCAGTGAGCAAACCCAGCAAGCCTGTGTCAGCAAATTCCTGATGGAAAGTGAGGTGAGGGCACCCAGGGAGCCTGGGACCAGGGGGCCAGGGCAGGACATGGGTACAGAGGGAGAACAGCAGCACTGGCCACTCACCAGAGCTTGCCCAGGAAGCAGCCACTAGAGTAGGGGCTGGAGAACAAACCCTGCTGTGGAGGCCAGGGTTCAGAGGCTGGCACTACCTCCTTAAGACTTGGGGTCTTAGGCAGGCCGCTGTCCTGTGTCCTTGATGTTGGCAACTGAGGTGGATGGGAGAGATGGTGTCACAGTGACCTCCAGCTTTGAAATTCCAATCACACCCTGATGTAAAGTTCCTGAGGATGCCCGTGGAACCCAGGAAGGCTAGACTCTGACTTCAGGCTGGCCCTGGGAGAGTATACATATTTGGGGCTCCACTAGAACAGCATTGTCCTTATATCCCTCCATTTGGCATGGACTTCATTATAAGCTACTTCCCAGGCCTCCCTTGGGCACGAGCTAGACTCCCCCTCCCCCCAAAAAACAAAAAAAATGTTACGAAGCTGAGGAACCTTGCAGAATTCTTCCTGAAGCTTGTTAGAATCAATCAGATAGACCTGCCTACCTTAGAGTGTGAGTTCCCATGGGCTATGACAGGAGCTTACAACTTCACCTTGAAAGCAAAAGGGTAGGGTGGGGAGTGAGCTTGTAGCAGGTAAAAAGTGGTAAGTGAGGTTCCCCAGTGGATGCTTTCAGATCCAGGGCCACGGAAAAGAGTATATGCTTGGGCAAGCCCCCCTGACTGACCCGCTAGCACTTCCTGGCATCAGCCCAGCACATCTGCTGTCCATCCTGCAGTGCTCTCTCACTGGACCCCATCCCCGCCCCATGTGCGTGAATTGCCATGACCAGGTTTGTTATACTTTGGGCAGCAGAGGCTTGCAGTGCTCAGCTCACTTGGAATGGATCACACGGTGAGGGTGGGAACCCAAGCCTCCACCTTACAGCCCTGCAGTTCTCAGAGCCCTGCCTGCTACCACCAACTCCCAACTCAGCCAAGTGTCAGAAACACATGGACTTTTGCTGCAGAGCTGGTGAGGGAGGGATGGGCAGCACTTGGTCAGTGCAGCTAGGGAAAGTGGGTCTGATTGAGTTTCTCTGGGTAAACTTTAGAGGTCTCAGCTGGCTTTAACATTGAGTAGGAGCTGCCCAGGTTCTGGATGTGTCACAGTAACTCTCTCTTATCCGTGTGTATTTCTGTGTGTGCACCTCTTGCCCCATAGAAGAGCGTGATTTCTCCTCTGAGGCCATTGATCTCCAACGCAGGACCACGGAGAAGACTAGGCTGGGACCAAGCCGGCCCTGGAAACAGCGTAATATCTCTTGGGCAAGGACCAGGGATGACTGGGCCATGGACACAGAGGTCCTCAACTTTCAGCCTTTCGCATAGCACACAGGGGACTCGTGGAGGCCACTTGCCACTGCCAACCGAAACAGTACAATGGCAATACTGACATCCTCTATGACATTTACACGGCAGACATCCCAGCAGGAAATGCTGGTGTGCATTCTGTCTGCACAGTAGTGGGCCGTGCCTCACCAATATGAATAGCTCAAGCTCTGACGACCTGCTCTGAGTCTACTTGCAGCCAGTGACACTTGCAAAAAACTCCCAAAGCCGTCTTGGCCTTGGCTTCCACAGTTCCTGACCAATGTGGCCAAAGCTGGACACATCCCTGGGACGCGAGGATCATTTGTAGATGCAGCCTTCCCCAAAGCTCCCTGAGTAGCATCTGAAGTCTCTGCAAAGGTCATGGATCCTGAACAAAGTGTCAAGGGCATCAAGAAGGCAGAGGGAAGTCCCCGGAAGCGGCTGACCAAAGGCGAGGCCATTCAGACCAGTGTTTCTTCCAACGTCCCCTACCCAGGCAGTGGCACAGCTGCCACCCAGGAGAGTGCCCCCCAAGAGCTCCTAGCCTCACAGCCTTTCCCAGGCCCCTCATCAGTTCTTAGGGAAGGCTCTCAGGAGAAAACAGGCCAGCAGCAGAAGCCCCCCAAGAGGCCTCCCATTGAAGCCTCCGTCCACATCTCGCAGCTTCCACAGCACCCTCTGACACCAGCATTCATGTCACCTGGCAAACCTGAGCATCTCCTGGAGGGATCCACGTGGCAGCTGGTTGACCCCATGAGACCTGGACCCTCAGCCTCCTTTGTGGCCCCTGGGCTCCACCCACAGAGCCAGCTCCTCCCTTCCCACACCTCCATCCTTCCTCCTGAGGACATGCCTGGCATTCCCAAGGTCTTTATGCCCCGCCCCTCGCAAGTCTCCCTAAAGCCTACAGAAGAGACACACAAGAAGGAACGGAAACCCCAGAAGCCGGGCAAGTACATCTGCCAGTATTGCAGCCGGCCCTGTGCCAAGCCCAGTGTGCTCCAGAAGCACATCCGCTCCCACACTGGCGAGAGGCCCTACCCCTGTGGCCCCTGTGGCTTCTCCTTCAAGACCAAGAGCAACCTCTACAAGCACAGGAAGTCCCATGCCCACCGTATCAAAGCTGGCCTGGCCTCAGGAGTGGGCAGTGAGATGTATCCCCCAGGGCTAGAAATGGAGAGGATCCCTGGGGAGGAGTTTGAGGAGCCCACTGAGGGAGAAAGCACAGACTCTGAAGAGGAAACCAGCTCCACATCCGGTCCCGCTGCAGAGCTCTCTCCAAGACCTAAACACCCCCTTCTTTCCAGTGGTTTGTACAGTTCGGGGAGCCACAGCTCCAGCCACGAACAGTGTTCCCTGTCCCAGTCCAGCGCAGCGCCCTCACTTGAGGACCCCACTCCATTTGCAGAACCCTCGTCTGAGCATCCTCTGAGCCATAAACCCGAAGACACCCACACCATTAAGCAGAAGCTGGCCCTCCGTCTAAGTGAACGAAAGAAGGTGATCGATGAGCAGGCATTTCTGAGCCCAGGCAGCAAAGGCAGCACTGAGTCTGGGTATTTCTCACGCTCTGAGAGCGCTGAGCAGCAAGTCAGCCCCCCGAACACCAACGCTAAGTCCTACGCAGAGATCATCTTTGGCAAGTGCGGGCGGATCGGGCAGCGGACCACCATGCTGACGGCCACCTCCACCCAGCCGCTCCTGCCCCTGACAACTGAAGACAAGCCCAGCCTGGTGCCTTTGTCTGTGCCCCGGACACAGGTGATCGAGCACATCACAAAGCTCATCACCATCAATGAGGCTGTGGTGGACACCAGCGAAATTGACAGTGTGAAGCCAAGGAGGAGCTCCCTGACCAGGCGCAGCAGCATGGAGTCCCCCAAATCCAGCCTCTACCGGGAGCCCTTGTCATCCCATGGTGAGAAGACGAAGCCAGAACAATCACTGCTGAGTCTCCAGCATCCCCCCAGCACCACCCCCCCTGTGCCTCTCCTCAGAAGCCACTCAATGCCTTCTGCCCCCTGCACCATCAGCACCCCACACCACACCTTCCGCGGTAGCTACTCTTTCGATGACCACATCACTGACTCCGAGGCCCCCAGCCGCAGCAGTCCAGTGTTTACCTCCCACCCCCGGATGCTGAAGCGCCAGCCAGCCATCGAACTGCCTTTGGGAGGCGAGTACAGTGCCGAGGAACCTGGACCAAGTAGTAAAGATACAGCCCCCAAACCCTCCGATGAGGCAGAGTCCAAGGAAAGCGAGCTCACCAAAAAGACCAAGAAAGGGCTGAAAACAAAAGGGGCGATCTATGAATGTACCATCTGTGGTGCTCGGTACAAGAAAAGGGATAATTATGAAGCCCATAAAAAGTACTACTGCTCAGAGCTCCAGATCGCAAAGCCCCTCTCTGCAGGTGCCCAGGCAACTCCTGAAGCTGATAAGAGCCAGGCGGAGCAGGAACCATGGTCCCACATGATGCATTACAAACTGGGGACCACCCTGGAGCTCACTCCACTGAGGAAAAGAAGGAAAGAGAAGAGCCTGGGGGATGAGGAGGAGCCACCTGCTTTTGAGTCAACAAAAAGTCAGTTTGGCAGCCCCGGGCCATCTGACGCTGCTCGGAACCTTCTCCTGGAATCCAAGTCACCAGCAGAACCAGGTAAATCAGTGCCCTCCCTGGAGGGACCCACAGGTTTCCAGCCAAGGACTCCCAAGCCAGGACCTGGGGCAGAGTCAGGACAGGAGAAGAGAACAACATCCAAGGAAATCTCTGTCATCCAGCACACCAGCTCCTTTGAGAAACCTGACCCACCCGAGCGGCCTGGTGGCCTGGAAGGCGAAGACCAGACTCTGGCCCAGTTTTCACCTGCACCGCCTGCCCCGCAAGGACGCTCAGCTCACTCCCTGCAGCCCAGGTTGGTCCGCCAGCCCAACATCCAGGTCCCTGAGATCCTGGTGACCGAGGAGCCTGATCGTCCTGACACGGAGCCTGAGCCACCCCCGAAGGAACCAGAGAAGACAGAGGAGTTCCAGTGGCCTCAACGCAGCCAGACACTTGCCCAACTCCCTGCTGAGAAGCTGCCACCCAAGAAGAAGAGGCTGCGCCTGGCAGAGATGGCCCAGTCCTCAGGGGAGTCCAGCTTTGAGTCATCCATGCCTCTGTCTCGTAGCCCCAGCCAGGAAAGCAGTGTCTCTCTAAGTGGGTCCAGCCGCTCAGCCTCATTCGACAGGGATGAGCATGGAAAAGTGGAGGCCATTGGGCCCTCATCAGACATGCGCTCCAAACCCTTGGGCACCCACATGCTGACTGTCCCCAGCCATCATCCACATGCTCGGGAGATGCGGAGGTCAGCCTCAGAGCAGAGCCCCAACATTTCCCATTCAGCCTACATGACTGAGACACGCAGCAAATCCTTTGACTATGGCAGCTTGTCTCTGGCAGGCCCTTCTGTCCCAGCCCCAGCAGCACCCCCAGCCCCAGTGGCCCTGCCAGAGAGAAGAAAATGCTTTTTGGTGAGACAGGCCTCTCTGAGCAGGCCACCAGAATCCGAGCCAGAGGGAAGACAGGACACTGAGGAACTACAGCCCTCATCCAGCAGAACTTCCACCAAAAGCTTGTTGCCCAGGATCTCTTCAGCAGCCACCTTGCACAGTGGGCACGCAGGAGGCAAGAGCCAGGTGCAAGACAGGCCCCCACTGGGGTCCACTCCGCCCTACACGGAAGCTCTGCAAGTGCTCCACCACCCTGTCACCCAGCTGCCACTGCAGGACAAGCCGTATCTGCCCCCACCTGTTTCTCTCTTCTCTTTCCAGCACCTCTTGCAGCATGAGCCAGGACAATCTTCAGAGTTCTTCTCTACACAGTCCATGTGTGGGCTCCTCTCCTCCCCATACTCTATGCCCCCGCTCCCTCCCTCCTTATTCCAGGCCCCACCACTTCCTCTCCAACCCACTGTTCTGCACCCAGGCCAGCTTCCTCTTCCCCAGCTGCTGCCTCACCCCGCCAACATCCCCTTCCGACAGCCCCCTTCCTTTCTCCCTGTGCCATACCCTGCCTCTTCAGCACTCTCCTCTGGCTTCTTCTTGCCGATACAATCCCAATTTGCACTGCAGCTCCCTAGTGATGTGGAAAGCCATCTGCCCCCAGTCAAAACCAGCTTGGCCCCACTGGCAACAGGATCTCCTGGCCCCTCCTGCAGTATAGGGCACAGCACCAACATACAGCTGTCCCCCACAGCTCCTCCAGCCAGCTCCTCGGCACCAACCTCAGCCCCTCTGCTGGCTCTGCCTGCATGTCCAGACACAGTGGAGTCCCTAGTTGTTCCAGTCCGCATTCAGACCAATATGCCATCCTATGGCAGCGCAATGTACACCACCCTTTCTCAGATCTTGGTCACACAATCCCAAGGCAGTTCGTCCAGTGCATCTCTTCCCAAGGGTGAGGAGCCCCCAGCTAAGGGGTTGACTGTGTGTGGAGCAGATATGTATGAATCTGGGCCTGGACCATCTGGATTAAGTGAAGAGCAAAGCAGAGGCTTCCAGACTCCATACCTGAGAGTGCCTATGACATTGCCTGAAAGGAAAGGTATGTCCCTGTCATCAGAGATTGTCTCAAGCCTAGAGGGAAGCTCATCGACAGCAGGGGGAAGCAAGCGAGTCCTTTCACCAGCTGGCAGCCTTGAACTTACCATGGAAACCCAACAGCAGAAAAGGGTAAAGGAAGAAGAGGCCTCTAAGGCAGATGACAAACTTGAACTGGTGAAACCTTGCAGTGTAGTGCTGACCAGCATGGAGGATGGGAAGAGGACAGAGAAATCCCACCTGGGAACCCAGGGCCAAGGCAGGAGGGACCCAGAAACACTGTCCAGCCAGTCCTCAGATCAAACTGACCCAAAGGAGATTCCTTCCCTCCCTCAACCCACGTTGCCCCATGGGACATCCCCAGGTGCAGAAGCTTCAAAGGAATATGCTCAGTCATCTGGCAAACCTCACCGAAGAGGGGTCCCCCTACTGAGTGTGAAAAAAGAAGACTCCAAGGAACAACTGGACCTCCCTCCTCTGGCACCTCCAAGCTCTCTGCCTCTGTCCCCCAGACCAACCAAGTTACAAGAAGGTACGGACTCAAAGAAGGTACTGCAGTTCCCCAGCCTTCACACGACCACTAATGTCAGTTGGTGCTATTTAAACTACATTAAGCCAAATCACATCCAGCATGCAGATAGGAGGTCCTCTGTTTACGCTGGTTGGTGCATAAGTTTGTACAACCCCAACCTTCCAGGGGTTTCCACTAAAGCTGCTTTGTCCCTCCTGAGGTCTAAGCAGAAGGTGAGCAAAGAGACATACACCATGGCTACATCTCCACATCCTGAGACAGGAAGGCTTGTGCCATCGAGTTCCCGTAAGCCCCGCATGACAGAGGTAAGTTCAACCTTCTTTGTCTTCTCGCTATCAGTTGTCAGAAGTTCTTGGTGAGCTTTTAAAGCCACACTATCTTCAAGGGAGAGGGTATATTTTCTCTCTTGCTCCCATGACTGGTTACTTCACAAAGAAATATATTTATTGGGTTTCTTTATCAGAATGCCCCCCACATTATTAGAATAGATATATCTCTATAAAGTTAGCTATAAAGTGATCCTGCTTTTTCATGAGCTTCCATATAAAATCAAAGATACAATCTCAGCAAAGAAAAAAATGATTCTCTAAAAGACAGTTGAAAAATGTGGTTGATGGGACTGCCTATAGAAGCTGTAGAACTTTCTACCTATCCTTTATTGTATAGTGCTCCCTTGTCTTACTAGTCTTTTCCTGCTTTTTAAAATCCTCTTATATATGTGGTTTCCATTCTGTAGTGCCATTTAATATCTTCCCATTTCCAGACATTCTAGCATTTGACATAGTCACTCCAGAAATGCTCCTCCTTTCTTTTCTATGAGTAGAATGATAAATAGAGTTTAATCTTCAGTGTCTTTCTTTACTATAAGGGATGACATCACTCCCTGCTGGGCCCATCTGTGCTCTGTAGTAGTATTAGGCTCTCACCAGGGGCTTATACTTATTCCTGACTATATCAGGAGTTATTAAAGAACTAGTCCCTTGTAAGTTCAATAAGCTTGAAATTCAGTTGTTCTAGATTTATACTGCACATGAGATACCTCCATAATCTGAGGTTTGGACCATGATGGGCTGTGCTGACCTGGCATCTGCAGAGTAGCAATGGGTCTTATTGGTTACCAGCCTTCCTGAGCCAGGCGCCGCACGAGGCCTCACATCCAGTCCATGCTCACTTCCAATTGTGAGGCAGCATCACATTCTACATTCTATAGGTGGGGAAGTAAGGGCCAGAGAATAAGAGAGGTCAAGGACAATGGCAAATATTTTCACACCTGGAATAATTTGAACCCAGACCTATCTGACTCCTATCTAATTATTTGAAGAAAGAAAACCTTAAAAGATGATTGCAAATTTAAAGGGGTTCACTAGTGTGCCTCCCAACCAGAGGCTTTGACTAAATCAAGCATAAATCCCCTAAACTAAATTCACATTGAGGGTCAGTGAACAAGACTGGGATCTGTAACTTCCTACATGTCTCTCCTCTGTCACCAGAGTGAATGTTGCACCTTGGGGTTATCCTTAGCTCAGCTGGAGATTCTTCATGAACGGTTTCCCAGTTTTATTTTTGAGGTGTCTTTGTCAATCAGCAGACACCTCTGAACAAGATTTCCAGTTTTGCAATACCATCCTACTGATTGGCTTGCTCTCTCTTGTCTCTTCCTAGCTGTGGCCACTGCTAAGTTGCTGTTGTAGTTATATTTCTACCTAAATTGGGGGTGGCATCTACTGTGTGCAAGGTGTGATGCAAAACCTTACTTTTGTTTTCACAGTCATCTTGAAAGTGACGATGCAGTATCACCATTCTATAGTGAGGAAACTAATGCTCAGAAGTGATGTGTAACTTGCACAAGGCCACAAAGTCAATGACGGAGATTGGATTCAAAGCTGCATCACACTTCAAAGCCCTTTTGCGTGATCTAGACTCCCTCTATTCCCTATGAAAATTGCATGGCACATTTAAAGAAAAAAAGAGTGTTTATTTAGCTTCATTAGGTTTGGCCAACATTTGCTTATAAGGCTGTTTTCCTAAAATGAACTCTTAGAATATTCAGTTTGGTCCAGAGGTCTGTTTCCTACCAACAGTGCACCCCTCCAGGGCATTAGTGTAACTGCACAGTCTACAAGATGAGGCCTTTATACAACTGCACCTCCTTCTCTGGCCTCTGCATGCATATCTCTAGTGGAGAGAAAGGGGAGCCCACAACTTTCTGTGCAACACAATCTGATTTTAGATCATGCTTGAAGAAGTTTCTTGTTCCACTGAGCTGATGGTTGTCACTTGTGGCTTCCATTTTCTGTCAGTTCTGAAAATGTCCTTTAGTTTATCTTAGCATTTTGAAGCTTTTCCTAGCCATCTTTTTCAGGTCTGGATGACCTTCTCATGTCTGAATTTGGTATTTTTTCTGTGTATGAGCTCTGGAGAAACCCAAGCTTGTGTAAGATTCCCTTTTACAGTTACATTCTTTTCCTTCAGTTTCTCATTTCACTTTTCCTTGGGGATCATTTTAACACTCATATCACCATCAAAAAAAAAGATTTAGAGTGAGAATCTAGGTCCACATTGCCCACATCTGAATCCCACTACCCTGTCTACTAGCTGTATGATATTGGGTCAGTTACTCAACCTTTCTGTACCTTGCTTTCTTCACCTGTAAAACAGGAATAGTAATAATACTTAGTTCATAAGACAGTGGAGACAATTAAATGACATAAGATAGTCACAGTGAACACAGAATAGTGGTTGACACTTTAACTCTTGGTAATCATTTTTACTTCCGATCATTCTTACTGTTATCACTAAAAGCCAAAGTGGATCTCAGGCCCTCCACTCAATTCTGACTCTGTTTCTTGGCAGAAGGGCCCTTTGCCAGCCAAGCAATGGGCCAAGCTGGACAAGCCAAGCTAGACCTCCTCAGCTTGGTCCAGATGTCACAGCAAGTTACAAAGGAAAAGCTACTCTTTGGCTTGTGACAGCCCTCATTACTCCATGGACTGACTATATTGCAGGCAGGGTGGGAGCAGAAATGGCATGCTCCAGAAACTCAGGCTTTGCCCCCTGTCTTGCCACAGCAGCTGTCTAGATTCTTGTTTGTTGTTCTTTGTCCACCTCCCATTCTGAGGAAATCACATGGAGGTAACTTGGTCACAGAGGTTGGCCCTAAAATGAACCTTTAAGACAGTCTAAACCATCATGCTCCAAAGCCTGAAGAGGTAGAGCGATCCACCCAAGGGTAGCTCAGAACACGGTGGCCTACCTGGTGCTGGAACTGAGACTGCTTGGCTCCCAGCCAGGTGCTTTTTGCCTCAGCCCCACTGGCCACAGCCCCTAGCATAGTAGCACTGCATCCTCGATGAGCTGTGCCCACCACTTCCAGCCATAAAGGAGTAGGGAACGTGTTCTTGGGATAGTAGAAGATACCAGGATGCCAAGACCAGTGCCAGTCTTCAGCATGGAACCATACCTCTTTGGGATTCAGAACTCTGGAAGTAGAATGAACAACAGCCCAGAGCCTTCCTAGCCTCTCCAGGCCTGGCTTGGGGTGGGGGTGGAGGGTCCTTGGGGCTCTAGGCCATTGTGCAAGCATGGGAGGACTATGGTCTTTCTCTCCAGGAGGCCTGCATTCTGCTCCCAGCTTTGCCTTTTACCATGCTGGCTGACTTCAGCATTTTAATCTGTCAATGAGAATTATACAAGTTCATCTCAAAAAAAAAAAAAAA